ACCTACCAGTGGAGGGAATGGATATGCCAACATCGCTCTCTTTGATTTCCTTGTCTAGGAAGACTTTTCCATAAGAACAATGTTCCTTTATGTAGTGATTTTAGCAGAGAATTGTGCGTAACAATGACCCAGGAGGAGAGTTCAGGGTCAAGGAAGAGTTGCAAAAGAGTATGTATGTCTATCACCTGTTGGGAAGTGGCACATACCTTATTGCCTAGCAACATAATGACCACATCCTGGTGAGCATATTCATGTATCTCTGTCAGCCAGGCCTATAAAAGAAGGGGGGAAAAGAAGTGGGGAGAAGAGATGGAGTTTATCAGTTAGCATGGAGTTAGATATAATGAACAAAGCTGAGTGGGGAGAAACAGGCACTGATTCTCCAGGGCTTCAGTAACATCATGTGCTATCAATGGGCCAAACAATCTTCGTTTGGAGAGACTTTATTTATAGATTTAATTTCTAAACTGCCCTCCCCCATACTAGAGTCTCAGGGTGGTGCACAACATTCAGAGATACAATCATAGGTGCATTTGAAACAAGTTAAAAACAATAAAACCTGTACATTAACAATTTCAGATGGTGTCTAAAAACCAGATTTATCCTTACCCCAAGGGGGAGAGAAAGGAAGGAAGGGCCAGGCTAAATGAAGACCGTTGCTGTCCTCAATGGTAGGCTTGGCAAACATCTCTGCCTTACAGGCCCCACAGAACTGAACTAAGTCTCACAGGGCACAGATGTCATTTGGCAGAGAGTTCCACCAGCTCTGGTTGAGGACAGCTGGATATTTTTCGGGCCAGGGATCACCAGTAGATTTTTCTCTGCAGAGGGTATACCAGGAGAGATGGTCCTGAAGGTATGTTGTTCCCAGAACATTTAGGGCCTTAAAGGTTAATACCAAAACTGTGACTCTGATCCAGTATTCAACCTGGAGCCAGTGCAGCTTGCAAAGCACCAGTTGAATATGTGCTGTTAATGAGGTTCTGGTGAGAGCCCAAGCCATCATGTTCTGGATCAACTGCAACTGCTCAAAGGTAGCCCTGCATAGAACAAGTTACAGTACTCTAGCCTAGAGGTGACCGCTGCATGGATTACTGTGGCTAGGTCAGAGCAAGACAAGAAGGGGACCAGTTGCCTGATCTGGCACAGCTGAAGGAATGCCATCTTTGTGATCTGGGCCTCCATCGATAAGGAGGCATCCAGAAACATACCCAGGCTCTTAATGGTGGGTGCTGGTGTTAGTGGCACACCATACAGAACTGGGTGTTGGTGCCTCAACCCTGAATCCCACACCCCCAGCCACAAAACCTCCATCTTAAATGGATTTAGTCTCAGCTGGCTCTGCTTCAGCCATCCAACCATGGCCTCCAACCCCTCAGCCAAATTATTTGGGGCGATGTCTGTCCATCTATCCATCAACAGATACAGCTGGGTGTCATCAGCATATTGATACCCACAAAGAAAATAACTGTGTTAACAAACCACTCAAACCTACATTTATATAAGTATGCTTTGAATACTAGAAAATTTATACATCCAGTTACTGGCTATAGAATAGACATAAAAGGTTTCAGTAATTGCGACACAAGTAAATGTGTATATCTTGTCCTTTGTGAATGTAAAAAAAATAACACTGGTAGTACAATTAGGGCTGTGCCACCAGAGGCCTACTAGGCCCAGGGAGCCTGGCTAGCAGTAGGTGAGGCTGGGCCTACAACTCCCAGAAGCCCCTGAGACGTTTTGGAACCAAAATTGACCAATAGGAAAGAGGAGGGCTTGGAATAAAAGATCTGGAGCAGCAGGAAAAGCTGTTCTTCTCAGAGGGCAGAGCCAGAAGGAAGGCTGCTGCAGGGAAGAGGCCCTCATCCTGAGGGAAGGGTGAGTAGTCTAAAGCCACTGCAGATAGTGAGCTAGGGACAGTATATTTAGATGCGTAAGGGCATTTGATTTATTTTATTTTCACCCACTTACTGTTATTCTGCACCTTGTTTGATCTCTTATAAAATATTTTCCTTGTTGTACTCTGCCTGGTCCTCACACCTATTATTTGGCCAAAAGGGAGGTCTGAAGGTCATGGGAGGGTGTTCTGGGCCTTCTCAAGGGAACCTAAGTCCAGAGTGGTGGCAGCATCAGGTGACACCCCACCTGAGCTGTGACAAGAGCTATTAAAACAAGGGTGCTTGAACATATTTTGAGAATTAAAAATGACATTAGAGAAGCCCCATTAATGGAACATTATAGGCATATGAATCATTCACCTGAATCCTTGAAATTTCTGGTTATGTATAAATACATGGGGAGACCTAATTCACATGTGGATGTTCTGGAGGGAGAAGCTCAGAATGAAAAAAAAATGTTGTCAGAAGCCAGTTCAGGCAGATGGATCAAAGCAGAAATCCACACGACAGTGATAGCCTCAGATATATAGGACCAGTTATAAGGTCTAATAGGTGTTAAACAGCATAACAGAATATAAGTGTTAAACTTTAATGGGAGGGATTGCCCCCTGAGGGACCCCAAATTTTATATTCTGACTGTATTTATTGTAAATTATGTTACCCGCCCTGAGCCCATTCGCAGGATGGGCAGGATATAAATATAAATAATTAATAAATAACAAGGGGTGTTGAGGTGACATCCTCTCTCCTAGCCCCACCCTCTGTCCCCAACCTTGGAGGAACAAGGTAAGCCACTTCAAGACCACCCCATGGACTCCTACTTTGGTGAGGCGGTGGGCCAACAACTGCGGTCATGCATGAGACAAGCAGATGTAAAGCATTCCAGTATCACATGGAAAAAGGATTCACAGGACTTTCAGTTTTGGCGGTTGGGATATTTTATTGCAAAGTTGTCTTCAATGGGGCTGTTTCACGAAGCTGTCTTATACTGAGTCAGGACATACTATATTGTCTCATGGTCTAAACAACCTTGGGCTGAGCCTCATAAGTGATTGATCCATGAAAAAGTAACTACTTTCACTCTAAGTAGAGCTAACCATCAAGCTTCTTCCCACAAGGCTGCTGACTTATCAGCTGGCCACTTTAGCTATGTCTTTAATCACACTTTGATGGGCAGATGAAAGAATGATCTCCTTGCTAGTTTCTTATGTCATGTCTTCACATCAAACTGCTGTCAAACTTGGGCCTCGTTTGCCATATGTTTCTTAACTGCCTGACTTTGGTATCTGTAAGCTCACTGCCCTGTTTCACTCTGGCTGGAAAGTGGGGAGGAGTGTGTGGTGTTGCTTTGCTAAGAGTCATGCTGGCTTGTACCTGCATCTATGCAGGGCCTCCCCTTGGTGGGAAGTATGCGTGCTTGACCTTGAGTACCAGACACTGATACCACACCCTGCTTGATAATGTAACCGTAGATTTGCCATAAATTTGCAGGTGTTCTAGGAGGGCTGATGGTGTACTGTAGATTTTGGCAGGCTGGATGTATGGATGTGATTGGTCTGGTCACTGTGGCGTGTGTGTGTTTGAATTATGTATAACTGGAGAACTGGCACCAAGGGTTCTGACACAGATTCGTCTATGCTTGAAACCTCTTGATCTCTCAATAAACAAATCACCAAAGAGTGATTAACACATGGACTTAACACAGTGGCGGCGGCTACAAACATGGATGGCTTCAAGAGGGAATTAGATAAGCATATGGAGCAGAAGTTCATCAGTGGCTATTAGCCACAAGGTATAGATAGGAACTCACAGGCTGGGGCAAGTGATGCTCTGTATTCTTGGTGCTGGGGGGGGGGGACAACAGGGGGAGGGCTTCTAGTGTCCTGGCCCCACTGCTTGACCTCCTGATGGCACCTAGTATTTTTGGCCACTGTGTGACAGAGTGATGGACTAGATGGGCCACTGGCCTGATCCAACATTGGCTTCTCTTAGGTTCTTAAATCACTGCCAAGAGAGTGTTGTTGGGAGTGAGTTCCTTCAAGACCTGACAACTGCACAACAGCAGTCTCAGGCAGCCTGCTGGCACTCCCATTACAATGCCTGAATGAATGGAGGACCCAGTACAGTTAGACTAAGCAACATCAGGATGATCATTTTGTATAAGATTACAAGATCAGATCTGCCGATCTTAAATACGCACCCGAATATTGTCAAAGGACATTCTGTTGGTGATGTCATAAAGGAGGAGGAGAGCTGGAAGGCAAGAAAAGAACTGCATTTTCTAAAATTGCCAAGGTGATATGTGCATATGAAGCTGCATTACACAAATTCAGACCACTGATCCATCTAGCCCAATATTATCTACTCTCATTGGCAGTGGCTCTCTAGTTTCCCACAATGATATTTCCCAGTCCTACTCCCAAAGTATTTTAAACTGATTAAACCTGGGACCTTGTTTATGCAAACCAGGAGCTGCGCCACAGAATAACAGCCCTTCTGTTTAATTGTTGGAAGCTAGTAGTAAAAGCCTTCTTCACCAGGCCTGTAGCCAGGATTTTGTGGCTTGTGGGGCAAATTCTTTTCTGATGGGGCTGAAGTTCTCAGTGCACAAAGAAAAGCCATTTAACCCATAGAAAGCTGTTACCAAGATAGATCTCTAAATTGCAAGCTGTCAACCACTTTAGATGACAGTTCTCAGCTGCTGCAAGTTAATCACTTCTGCCAGCCTAAGCAACAATTCTGATAACAAGCTGGCAGGTGGGGGTGATGACTTCTATAGTCAAGAAAGCTAACAGGCACAGAAAAACTCTCTTAAAGGAGACCAGTTTCTTGACCCAGAGTTAGAAGGGATCCTAGAGTTCACCTACTCCATCCCCCTTGCCCACTCTACTTAAAGGAGCGCATGCCTTTAAAAATGTTTTTAAATGATTGGAATAAAAGCATTTACAGGAGAAATTCTTGTGGGGCTGTGCCTTTAAGAAAGAGGGCGGAGCCTCAAAAAGCCCCACTGTAGCTACGGGCCTGTTCTCCACTCACAATCACAGAGGACCTACCCTGAGCATCTCGGTAATAAGCGTGGGTCACGCTCCGGAATCGCTCCTGGCCTGCGGTGTCCCAGATCTGCAGTGAAACAAACTTAGTAAACTAAAAGAAAGTCCCACTTCATTCTGTTCCATCAGCAGATTCCCAGATACTAAGCAAAAAAGCATGGACTGCTCTTCCCAGGGATAGGGCTATCGGGACCCAGATCTGAGGAGTCCTTGCAGGCAGAAGATTACAGACAAGGTGTTTATAGAATGAAAAAAAATGTTGACAGAAGCCAGTTCAGGCAGATGAATCAAAGCAGAAATCCACATGACAGTGATAGTCTCAGATATATAGGACCAGTTATAAGGTCTAATGACAGAGAAACCTGGAATAACTGGGGTGTGGGTGCCTGAACAATAATGTATAAAATGGTATAAAATGATAACAGATGCACACTGCTAATATGACAGCCATGGTTAGGACTGTACTCAAAACCCTGTGCTAGGCTACAGTTTTGGAGCCGAACAATCCTTTATCCTACATCCACACCTGTCATAAGGGAGGGACAGCACAACCAGTGGTTCCCATCCCATTGTTACAATAAAAAGACACAGAAATAAGCACTTGCAAGTACACAAATTTCCTTTCTGAAAGGCATATCCACAGACACTCAGTCTAAAAGCAACATGGTTTTTAGGGGACAAGATATATAGGCTCGTTCAGCACATTGTCGTATCCGCAATGCACAGAATGCCCCTCACTCGGACTGCACTGGTCCCCTACCCAGCTGTATGATATACTGGACTATAACATGGATAGGTTAAACCAGGGCTATTTTTGGACAGGAACGCACAGGAACGGAGTTCCGTCTGGCTTCAAAGTTGGCCACACCCACTACAGCCAAAACTTCTGCATGCGTGGCTACAGAGGGAAGGCCTGGAGAGCGCCCCCCGTGCCTTCCCCGGCCTGTCCAAGGGCCGGCTTGCACGGGCTCCCCGCAACCACAGGGCACCCAGGCAAGCCAAGGGAAGGCATGGGGTTGTGGCCTAATATGTTAATGAGTTCCTGCTGGGCTTTTTCTACAAAAAAAGCCCTGGGTTAAACTTTTCTTACAAGGAAAGTGAGGATGCATCTCAGACAACATGCTACTTCACTAAATGTACCACTGTTCAAGAAGTGGTGGGGTTCCTTGTTAAAGTCAGCCTGGACTATGCATTATCAGGGCGGGAATCTCCCAAATCTTACTGCACCCTGTATGTGTGCATACATGCATGTGTACAGATTAGAGGGACAGGAAGCAAAGGAGAAAACTCCTTTGGAACATGCCTACTATATTTCTTTCCAGCACTGGGTTTGGTGCCTCTAACCACTGCAGGTAAAGCAAAAAGGCAATAGTTGAAATCTTGCCAAGGAGAAAGATTCATCTGTTGCATATGTTTCTGCCACGATAGGAAAAAAGAGCAGATCCTGTATATATTTGTGGGGAATTATCTGGACATGCAATGCCAGTGGAGGTTCATCAAACCAACCTGGAGTTTCACTTTCACACCATCCACCGTTACCACTTTATTCTGTAGAAGAAAACAAAACAGAACAGCATGTAAGGGAGAATAACTACAGGTACTAGGAAATCTGTTCTGGCTTCTTCCTTCACCATAAGAAACTCAAATGATCACTCCACGGGAAGGTAGAGGCTACAGCCCTCACCATTTAAAAAAACACACCACCACAACACTGGGACAGTAGGGTTGCCAACTTCCAGGTGGGGCCTGGAGATCTCCTGGAATTACAATTGGTCTCCAGACTACAGAGATCAGCTCCCCTGTAAAAAAAATGGCTGCTTTGGAGTGTCCCTCCCCTCCTCAAGCCCCTCCCCAGCCTCTATCCCCAAATCTCCAGGAATTTCCCAGCCTAGAGTTGGCAACGCTATGGGACACTCAGCAGCCGTTCACTGTTGTTGGATAAAAAGGTAATATAGCCCCATAATTCTCCACACACCCCAGAACCCTGGAGACAGATGACTTTTACCTATTAGAGACTTTCTCTTACAGATTACTTAGTCCACTCACAAGATAGCAGTTCCATTACAGTTAAATTAGTTTATATTTGAAGTACAGACATCTTCCATCTGGGATGGGGTGATCATAGATCTTCAGGAAAAAGCTTTGATTCATGATATGGTGCCATGTCATACAAAATAACATGAAAAGGCAGAGCTGATGCAATCTGCAATATTTTTTTTACATCTGTTGACCACTGTCTTTTATAGTTTCCTGGTTTCTTTGTTAATGAGTACCTTCTTCAAAAGGTTCTACTTTTCTGTGTTTAGTTTGGTCTATGCTTCATGACGACACAGGCAACCTATGTTTCATTCTCGCACACTGCATGGATCACCTCCGCCCGTTCTGTCCTGCTCGCCAGTCTAAGATCTTTCCCATAAGCCCTGCTCTCTGTTTCCCCATCTGCAGAGGTGAGGAGAGAAGAGACCAGAGACAGGGTTTTTTTTCCCCATCACAGCACCTCACCTTTGGATTGCCCTCCCACCTGAGGCTAGCCTGGCACCTACCCAGGGGTCATTTCGTAGAAAAAGAGGTGCAGGAGCTCATTAGCATAACTCATTAGCATATGCCACACCCCCTGACATCACCAGAAGTGTCAGAAGGCAACACCCACCGCTCAGGCTCCACTGGACTGTTTTGGATTGCTAGCTACTGGGGGGGGGAGAGAATGTGCAGATTTGTCCTTGCAGAGGAGGGAGAGCTTGTACCTGAATAAAACTTGGTCTTAAAGGTGCCACTGGACTGTTTTGGACCGGGGGGCCGGGGGGAGCTCTGCAACTTACCTGGCTGCTTCTTGCTCTGCCTGAGGGCTGCTGGGAGCAGGTGGCGGGGCTTGTTGCATGTGCCCGCCCCCTGGGCTCTTTACTGCCAGAGCTCTGCTCCTGTGCGCTCCTGCAGGAAATGACCCCTGCACCTACCCCACCTTCTTCTAGCCACTAGGCGAAAACATTTATCTTTTACTCAGGCTTTTCCTTATGAGGTCGATATTTTAAAATTGTGTCTATTAGATTGAAACTGTAATATGAGACTTGTTTTATGCTGCTAAATGCTTTGTGCTGCTTTTATGCTCCGTTTTTAATAGTTATTACTTAAAGATTAATCATTGTAGAGAGCATGGTTATTTATGCTATTTTATATTTTGCTTTGTAAGCCGTTTTGAGCAAGGCCCTCTGGAGAGGCAAAACAGAAATTCTTCAAATAAATAAATCTGCTGGGAGGGGAGGGTGAATACTGTGTGCTGCTGATGGTCCATAGTTACAGCTGATTGTCAGTGGGAATCTCAGTGCCACCACATATGATTAGACCCCAACATTCCTAGAAGAGATGTAGAATAAGAACAAAAGCAGCCACTAATTAGAAAAAGGCAAGATAAGACTCCTATTTCAGGAAACATCCTTGGAGAGAAAGATTTTTAAAATCACACAGAACAAAAGTGACTAACAGTAAAACATTTCTCAATCGAACATTTCTAATTCTGACTTCCAGATGTACCTTATTATGAACACCTCTCCTTGACCTTCTCCTCAGGACTGATACCACTTACAGGTCTCCTTCAAGGTTTCCTGACACAAGGAGGTTCTACTGGATCACTCATTATATACAAATAACAGACATCTTTTCTGGCCGCAAGCAAATCATTATCAGAGAAACAGCAAATGGTCTAGATACCCCAGAGGTAAAGGACAGTTTTATACCATGGCTTTGGGAAAGAACCTCATCTTTCATAGATACTGTTTTCATTGGCTGTCTATTATCAATGGATTAATGCCCTAAATGGCTTTGATTAGTATCATACGTTTGCTTCTCTGAAGCAGCTAGCTAGATGAATGCCATTTGCTTTAGGATGATATGGCTGAAGAGCCACTTGGATATGCTTACCACTGAACACAGGTACCCATGCCCACATGAACCATCAAGAACAGTACGGGTATCCCAAGCCGTCTTTTTTGGTACGCATAAGGACACAGAACCTCACTACATTGATCCATACCTCCATTAATTCCATTTTGCATAAGGCTTCAAGAACCACCTTTACAACAGCATTTCATCAAGAGGATATATGACATGGTCACTGGAATTCTTACTAATGTTCCTTAGTTCAAGCTGACAAGGACTGAAAGGATGGGACACGGACAGCGTCTGCCAGTGTTGCTATACAACTGGGAAGAATCTGAGAGAAAACAATATTTGTGATGGCTATGACCAAGATATCCTAGAAGTCTCACGAGAGGAACATGTCACCTCTGATTGACCAGTAACAATCATATTACCACAACATGGGGGGTGGGGGATGAGCCAAGTCCATCAGTTCAAGAGAGAGGGATTCCTTGGTGCCTGCAGGAATCACATGCAGATAAGGGTACAAGCTTTGTTGTATAACTGAACAAGCCACTAAGGACCAAACTAGGAGAGCCAGAATGGTGTAGTGGTTAAAAGCAGTGGACTCTCATATGGAGAACCAAGTTTGATTCCCCACTCTTCCACAAGAAGCCTGCAGGGTGACTATGGGCCAGTCACAGTTCTCTCAGAACTCTCTTGGCCCCACCTACCACACAAAATGCCTGTTATGGGAAGAGGAAGGAAAGGCGATTGTAAGCCACTTTGAGACTCCTTAAAGTAGAGAGAAGCAGGGTATAAAAACCTACTCTTCTTCAGACTAGATGGGTCCAACCTGTGGATGCCAATGCCATTTTAAAACTGAAGTCAGCCACTTAAAAATGCTGCTACGGCCCAATCATGACCAGGCCCACAGCATGACAGAACCATGCAATATTATTCCCACCTTTGTGCCTTTTCAAAGTGTTAATACACTGTGGAGAGAACTATTGCTCAAGGTCAAATACCAAAGGCATATGTCTCAAATATAATAAATGAGAAAATCATGCATGGAGATTAAACTGTAAATCTTTTACTATGATCCACACGTACTTATTGCTTATTAAAGTACAAAAGCTATGACACAAATACACAAGTATAAAGAAGCCTTCCTAAAGCAAGACCAGTAAATGGGCTGTATACAGTCCTTGAAAAAAGCAAAAAATATTATAGTGTTTTCAAGGACTGTATACAGCCCATTTACTGGTCTTGCTTTATGAAGGCTTATTTAGTTTAATTTCCTTGCATGATTTTCTCATTTATTATGTTTGAGACATATGCCTTTAAGTAACACTTTAGTGGTATTTGACCTTGAGCAATACGTTCTCTCCACGTGTATTTTTTTGTTATTGTACTTAGTATCTCCGTGGTCCCATTGTATTTAGTGTTTTCAGGTTTTAAAACAGCTGTTTAGACACTTAAAAAGCCATGAGGTAGAGGGGGACAAGATTACCTGGTCCCACCATGTTCTGTTATCAGAGGTACAGTATGTAGCTTCATATTAGCCTTTTATGCACTGGTGGTTTCCCTCAATTTTACAATGCCTCTTCATCATGGTATTTTTTGGTTCTGCACTTCCCCCTGCTTTCACGTTGTATGTCCATCAGGGTTCTTTTTTAAAGTTCTGCATTGTTTTTTGTCCCTTCAGCTCTCAGTTTGCTTTCCGTTCACTGATGATTTCCCCCCTTGCTCCTCTCCCAAGCCAACGGTAATTCAAAAGCATACCCTTTCCCTCACATTTCCCCCCTGCCCTTTCCCCGCCCCTCGGAGGCTACTCCCTGCCAACATCGAGGTCATTCTTGCCTACTCTGCACCATCCACCATCTTCCCCCCTTCATCGGTGCTTACTTTTTCCATCAAGCAGAATGAGTTTAGCTAAAGCAGGAGGGTTTTTTTTTTTTTGCTAAACTGGGTTCTCTGGGTTAAAAAATTATTCATAGGGAAAGGCTGAGGTGGTGGTTTGTGCATGTGGGCAGGAGTCAATCCTGTGGGGAGAGTTCTCCCCTCAGAATCGGCTGGGGCTCTCCTGGGCAGCCCAATTTAAAATGGCTCAAAAGTGCCTGCCAAGGAGCCTGCCAAGTTAAAACCAGCCAGCAGGAGAAGGCAGCACACAGCTGAACTTGCAGGGAGCCATCGGCATCACTGTGCCTGTGGGAAGCCATTCAGCTCTGCACTGCCTTCTCCTGCTGCCCTGGGGAAAGTCGCACCTTAGCCTCTCCAAAGGCAGAGATACTCAACACACACACAGCAGAGCTGCCCTCTCCCCTAGTGCTCGACAATATGGAAAATGGGGCTTCTCAGCTCCTTGTCAATTTTGGAACAAGTATGTTCAGTTTCAACAGAGGTTTCCTCCTTGTTCCTTCCTGCTCCTTATCATTCAATGTACTAATGCTAAAAGGCATGTGCAAACCATGAACTATGAGGATTTAAATGGAAGGTGCTTGCTGGACACTACTACACAGCTGCAATGGGGCAATCGCCTAATTTTTTAAAAAATTGGACACTGCCCACCACAAGTGATGTTCCACCCCAATTTAGAAAAGTGTGTGAGGTTTTTGGTACCTGCAGAATAAATACATCAAATGGTGTAAGACTGGTGTGGACGACAGGCACAGAAACCCAAAGTCAAGTTTAAAGGCTTGACTGCTTGGATACTCTGCAGTAAGTCGTGAGCGCAGAAAGGACCATGGTCAACTTCTCACAGTTACCTCAACCCACTCCTGTATTATTTCTAGTAGCTGTGGCTGTCCCAGATCCATTCAGACTTACGTGAGCTGCAGCTATTGAGAATAATGAGCCAGTGCTCTGGAGGAGCTTTGTGAAAATCACTGTGTCTGGTCACTAGAATTCAAACAGTAACCCACTGGAAGACTTTGTGCATACCTGACTCTCTGACACCTGTATGAGATGCTGCATGAGGCTTCTTGCTTCCCCTAGTTTGTATTGAATGCAAATCCAAAAGAGTGACCTATGCTGGCCAAAATGCTAATCTACTTACAAATGCCTCCTACATTTGTGACTTGCGCAACTGAAAAGTTATAGAAAATTATCCTTTCTGGCTTGGGAGCAGCTAGTTAATTGCTACTTGATATTGCACACAGCATAGCCTTATGTACTCCTGCAGAACAGATATCTATTCCCATGAGTAAATCAGCAGCTACTGCTGTTACTGAACTGTCCTAGGCTTCCTCAGTATAAACTGTCTACTCTGCAACTAGGGTTGCCAGACCCCAGGGCTGGGTGGGGGAACCCCCACTTCTGGGGGCTTCAATATGCCCCCATCCAGCTGGCTAGTGGGGGAAGCCCTGCCCCAAAGCCCCACCCCCAAGAGCAGCCACCCCCCCAGTCACCCCTCTCCCTCCCCTCCTGCCCAATTTAAAGGGCTTCAGCTGATTGGTGGGGACCACATGGCCCACCGACCAGCTGGAGGGCCCTTTAAATCTAGCAGGAGGGAGGGAGATGGGACACCTGTCTTTCAGATCTGTGTAAGCCAAAAGCTTGCATACATCAACAGAAATTGATCCCATGAAAGACAGATGATCCTTCATTATTTCGAAGAATCAACATAGCAACAGATATTTATTGAAAAGTACTGGCACCCGCAAATCCTTGTACTGCCTTATTGTTATTTTGCCTCCACTGCAAAGGCTCCTGCTGTCACAGACACTGAGGGATACATTTCTCCATTTTCCCTGCATTGTACTATTCACAGCGGAAGCAGAGAAGGAAGTCTGACACTTGTGCCTTACACTGGATTGAGCTGTCAGTGTTGGCAGCTGCACAGATCTCACCCGAAAGTCTATGCCGACGGTGGCTATGAAGGTTCCAGAGAGGAAGGCCCCATCTTTGAACTGGATGAGGAAGCAGGTTTTCCCCACGCCTGAATCGCCAAGCAGCATCACCTATAACATGGGGTGCAAAAGGCCATTAATAGTGCAATGGATGGCACATATATCTTTGCTGGTATGCGGGAAGCAGGGGAGACCTGATGCAAAAGAACTGAGCAATATTACATCCAGGGGTCTGGGCAGTCTTGCAGACACAGCTGAGCATACGGTGGACTACTCTTCGTTATTTCATAAGAACATAAGAGAAGCCAATGTTGGATCAGGCCAATGGCCCATCCAGTCCAACACTCTGTTACACAGTGGCCAAAAATACCAGGTGCCATCAGGAGGTCCAGCAGTGGGGCCAGGACATTAGAAGCCCTCCCACTGTTGCCCCCCCCCCCCAGCACCAAGAATACAGTGCACATCACTTGCCCCAGACCGAGAGTTCCTATCTATACCTTGTGGCTAACAGCCACTGATGGACCTCTGCTCCATATGCTTATCCAATTCCCTCTTTAAGCCATCCATGCTTGTAGCCACCACAACCTCCTGTGGCAGTGAATTCCATGTGTTAATCACTCTTTGGTTGAAGAAGTACTTCCTTTTATCCATTCTAACCCGACTGCTCAGCAATTTCATCGAGTGCCCATGAGTTCAGTGTATGGTCAAGGGCATTCACTTTCTCTCCTCTTCCAACTGCCTCACTCACCATTTGGATCCTAGTCTTTACATAATAGGCTCTTCCCATGTGGGCTCAAGAGCTGCATTTAGACCTGCATCTACACACTATGTCGATCCTCTGCAGGTAGGTAAGCATCTTAAGGGATGACAACTCAGCATCTCAGATCTGTAACCCGATGCATCGACGGTCGGCAATGCACTGGCTGAAGCGCAAGCAGAGATCGAAGTGGTATATCGATCCTACTCTAAATATATTAAGCAGAATAACATGCCGGGCGAGATTGTAGTCAAGTTTCTCCGACGACAGACAAGAGATGATATTCTCAAAGCGACAGCAGCCAAACCCCTGCAGCTGGGATCAGCAACTATCAGGGTCCTAAAGGACACTCCATTTGAGATTCGACAGAAAAGCATACAAAGAACTCATTTCAACACTCCAGATCAACCAGATTCCGTATTCCTGGCTCTATCCGGAGGGTGTGCAGTTTAAATACAAGGATAAGAGAGAAAAAATTGACTCGGTATTTAAAGCGGAAGAATGGTTGAAGCAGTTTTTCGGATCGAAAAAGGAAGAGCAGCCAGACGGAGGGGGCCCTGCAGACAGCCTGGAAGAGACGGACGGAGACCCAGCAGGAGCAGAAGGAGGCGCGGCGAGAGACACGTATGACTTGCGGCTAAGAGTTCCCAAGTAACTCTTAAGAACTGAAAGATTTATAACTGAAGTGGATGAAAGAGACTCTGTGCACACTGAGAAGAAGATAGACAATTACTAAAATAGACTCACTAACTCCTAAATTCATTGATTTAAACGAAAAGTTTTAAGTTTTATGACTAATTGTATACTAACTGTAAAAGACCTTCCTTTCTTGGGTTTTTAGTTATAGTGTGGGTTTCTTTATTTACTGTCTGTACCCCGGGTTTTTTTATTTTTCTTCCCCTTCCCCTTTTCTTTTTCTGTAGTCACGTAGATGTAACAAAAATTAATAAAACTACCCTGCCTTCAGGGGATTAAAAAAAAAAAAAGATCTGTAACCCTCATTTCCAATATCCCTAAATGCACATCTTCCTTGCCACCATTTCCTCTCTCCAGGGCAACAGCCATTCTAGATGCTTCTGTTCATCTTGCAGCTGATGCCCAGTGCTTTCTCCCAGTCTCATTATATTCATGCATGGATGCATTTATTTAGAAAAATGTCATGCTACCTCTTCAGGAACCTGACAAGGCAACTTAAAAATAAAAATAAACAAAATATAAAAAAATATTAACTAAAATCCAGCCTAGCATAAAAACACAGACCATAAAAATCAACCACTGTCAGCTTAAAAGAACACTCTCCAAACTAAAATACTATTAAAAGATTAATTAAAAGCCTGGGTAAATAGAAAAATTTTGGACTGGCACCTAAAAGAAAGCAACGCAGGTGCCAGATGAGTGTCAAGGGGGAGGGCATTCCATAAGCAAGGTGCCACTGCTGAAAAAGCCCTATCTGTGGTTGCCACCTGCCTTACCTCTGGGCTTGCATGACAGATCTTAACTGGTGGGCTGGACAATAGGGGAAGGGGTGGTCCTTCACACTCCATGGTACATACTCCTTCTTCCTGCTCTCCAACCATTCCATACCCTATGAACCTTTCTTTGAGACAAAGGCCCACCTCAGGATTGGCATTGGACAACTGACTTCATACAAAGGGACAAGCAGCCAATCAAGCTACACACCCAAAGAACCACATCTTTGGCTAGTCTGATCTCATAAGATCCCAGAAGCTAAGCAGGATTGGCCGTGGTTTGTATTTGGATGGGAGCCCCCCAAGGAAGTCCAGGGTTGCTATGCAGAGGCAGATCATTGTAAACCACTGCTGTTCATCTCTTACCTTGAAAAACCCTATGTGGTCACCAAAAGTCAGCTGTGACTTGACAAGTGCGTGTGTGTGTGTGTGGGGGGGAAGCCCGGTTATAGTGCTATGCAGCTTTGCTTGGTAGTAAGCCAATAAACAGTGTGCCTTCCATCTAAACATGCTCAGAATTGGCTGTTATTCTGCATCAAGAGTTCTGGGCTGCCTGAAGAGGCCTCTGGATTACCAGAGATGAACTGGTATATGGAACTCCTCGCTAGGATGGCTGTTGCTCCTGCTCAAGACTTCCATGGGTATCACATCTGTCAGCAGACACCACCCCTTGGAACTGGCATCTTTTCCGCTTTATTTTCAGTCACTGGAGCCAGTCTTTGTTACTGATAAATGAGCAGGCAGTGATTAGGATCTCAGGTCTGCTTCAACAAATAGTTTCTTGCTTTGCTCTTTGTCTGGGTAATAACCCCAAAAGTCACTATGACCACATGAGCATACAGACCACCGTGACTCAGTCTTGCCCCAGGCAAAAGCCAATGTGTTCAAGAAACCATTACTGGGGTGGTAACATTTCATGAGGGAAAAAAATATTTTTGTCTGATGTGGGACTGGTTGCCTCACCCATGTTGCCTGATAGCAGAGCAAACAAGCAAGTCAGCATCCACTCCTCCTAAGCAAACAGACCTCATCTGAGAAATCCTGGTGTTGCTGGCACCTCTGTATCCATTTTTATCCTGGGAGGGAACTGTCTATGAGAAATGTGGATTAGCCAATACTCATCCATCTAGAAAAAGCCCACCCCTCCAGTCTGCTCTCAGATAACAGCAATCTCCTGTCTCTCATTAGCAGACAAAGCTACTAGATGTATCAGCAGCTTTAACCAAAGTAACTTTTTAATAATCCAGGAAAAAGGAAATGAGTTCAGGGCAATTGAATGTTCCTGCATAGGGCTATGAATCTTGCATTACTCTGCCCAGTCTTCAGCTGAATACAGCCCTGTTTTCCAAATCTGTAGGTGAGGCAAATTTTTTAAAATTAAAATTCAGTTACACATGAAAAAGTGTCATCTTGCTCAAAGAAGTCTACGCCTTCTCATTTTGTGAAAGTCACTAATTGTCACCAGCCAGGTGTCACCTCCTCTTTGGAGGAAGAATTGGAGGATTTGGACCCCACAACAGTGGAATACCCACCCAAGCCGCTGGGTTGAGAAACAGACCCAATGGGGGGAGCATCAGGAAGTGAGAATGCTTCCCAGCCACAGCCAGGCTGCTCATTCTGGCAGGAGACAACAGAAAAGATGCGGGAGCCAGAACCTCAGTCCCCACTGGGTTCTCCTGAACCAGCAGAGCGTAGAAGAAGGAGCACTTGATAACTTTGGAGAGAAGACAAAGCACTCGCCTAATGGCACAGCAGTGATTAATGCCAGTTCCTGGAGCAGAGTCTTTACAGGAGCAAGATGGAGATGCTGATAGAAAGCAGCAAGGACCTACACCTGAAGGATGAGGAATCCACTGAAGCAACACCTGGGCTTTGGGGATGAGTCAGCAAAAGGAGGCAGTTAAAAGCAACACGCTGAGCAAGACTTGGTGTGGAAGCAACTTTGCTTGTCCTCCTGTGAGCTGACTTACATAGTGAACAGAGTACTACCTTGCCCACTGTCCTGTTGAACCTGTGCTTGCCTTTCCAGCTAGAAACTCAGGCCCTATATCCTGCCCTCGCTTCCAAGCTTTGGACCCTGAACTCCAGACCCCCCTTTTTCCAATACCTTTGGATTGAACCTTCAGCTCCCTGACTCTGCACTGGTTAGTTGACTGTGCTCTTGCATTCTGTCTCACTTGTTACTGTTGTATTTGTGCATCCTGGAAGCCCTGGGTAGAGTAAAAATGCCAGGCTTTGCCCTGAATGTGACACTGACATATGTGAGTTACCTGACAAAAGAAGAATTCTCTATTGGCAAGGTACTGAAAAGGCAGAAAGTTCTCCAGCTCCCCATCTTGGCTCAGAGACTTCTAACATTGGCATATAGACACCTATAATGTGTTTTCCTCTCCAGTTACCCTCCCTTGCCTCCCTCGGCCCCTTAGTCACCACGCATGGCCCTCATTCACCATCCTACCCTCACTCCCAAGTTTCATTATGCTGTCTTCAGCCATTTCAGATGTAGGAGTCACTTTTAACTACAACCTGGAACATGGGACTCACTTTTATTTCTTCTGTAGTATCCTGACAATATGCCAGTCACTGTCTGTAAAAGTGGGGTTTGTATACTGCAAACTCCCCTGGTGGTGATGCCAAATGTCCACTCAGATGACTTGTGGCAGCGCCTCCTAGAGTCAGAGGTGGATGGCAGGTTGTATCTTCACTCTCTAACAGTGTCCTGGATGCAGTGTTTTATGTTTCTCCCACAGGAGAGAATGGCAACTATTCACTGATATGGCAGAAAGTCTTGAAGATACAATCACAGAGGGGGCCAAACATGCTCCCTGCCTCAAGTGATTTCCACAATTCTGGCTGGCAAGAATCAAGCCTCTTTCCCTCCA